GGCTTTGTATGGTGGCCCCGTCACCACCGCTGTCTCCGGCACGTCACAAATCCGGGGAGAGGCCGGCCGGCTGGTCGCTCCTGACTCCGAGGGCGAGCCTCATTGGGAGCCGCCGGCCGCCGCCCGGGTCCCGCACTGCTAGGCCTTGCGGGCCTTGCGGGACACCCCCGGGCTACTTGGGACAACACCGGCCGGTTCCAAGACCCGCGACTCTCCGGACGCCTCTGCTCCTAGAGGCCTTGTACTTTCTTTTTTAAGAGAGGAGTTCCTCTTTCCAACCTGTCTCTCCCCACCCCAACTGGCTGACCTCTGCGGAATCCTGTTGCTCTGGTTTTAAACTGTGACTCCAACTTGGTATTTACTAATTTTTAAATTCTGATGTCTAAAGACTATGATCAAAGCTGTACAGAGCTCTTAGCAGCGCTTAGCCCGCTGCTGTGGAGGGTGCTAAGAAGTTCAAAGGATTACAGGGCGGCCTGGAAGGAAGAGGCCAGAGAACACCCTCTGCCTGAGACCTGTTATGGTGGCCCCGCCTCCGGACGGCTTACAGTCCAGTGTGGGGATGGAGGCCATCACGCAAGAAATCACTGCAAGACCAAAACAGCAAACCAAAACTATTTAAGTGACATAGTACATGGCACAGATGGAAGACTTCAGAAGACGGTAGAGTCAGAGCAAGCTTTTGTTTGGACCCCTAAGAGTTAGAAGGTGTCCACCTTCCTTCTCAACCAACCTGATGTATGACCTTGGGAGTGAGCTTCACCGCTTTCAGTGTCAGGAGACTCTGCTTTGTGCTTCTGGACAACTGTAACCTTGGGAAGTTATCATCAAGCGGAGCTCAGGCTCCTGGGCCCTTTACCTGCGTAGCCACAACAGGTTATCGGTTGAAGGCAGCCTTCCTGCCTGTCCCCCATCTACCCCCTGGATACTCTCTTCTCTAGGTTCCAGATGCAGCTCCATTCCTTGCTTGGGGGGCAGAATTCCTCATCTTGGCTGCTGCTCTGAGCTCCCAGAGGCCAGGAGGCAGATGAAGGAAAATGAGGATAGCTCTGGCGGTTTACTAGTTTACACAAATGCCTCCTCCTGTCAACTGCTCTAGCTGGCTTTTGGTTATCCCTTGGCTGCCCTTGCTGGTCACCAGAACTGGATTTCATTTGGAGACAGCTGTGTGTGTCCTCTGGGTGAGGGTGGCCTGAAGACAACCTGGTGATTTGCCCCAGAGTCAGCCCTGGGACAGACAAAAGCAGAGTTGATAAGAGGAATCCTGACACAATCAGGAAATGTTCTCTCCTCCCTCTTTTCTCTCCAATCCTTTGCCAATTCCCGCCCCCATTTTGCCAGACTCCAGGGGACTAACTGAAGGAGAATTACTGCCTGTTTCTTTGACAGGTGCACCAATATCTGTGTGAGCATAGGGCGTGGGAGGGAAGAACACAGCATTATGGTTAAAACTTACGCGCTGCCCCTCAGCGCTTCGGAACACAAGCCAGACCCCTTCACTGCTCTTTTCCAGCAGAGAAAGACCCCAGCCTACCAGTGGTCAGCATTTTACAAGGGAGTAAGAGACTGTAAGAACAAGAACTGAGAACCACCATAACTGAATCAGTAATATTTGCCAAAATCAATGGCAATAGGATATGTGGTGGTGGTTTTTATTTTTTGATAATCTGGAATCTCTCAGATGAATGTTTAGGACAAATTTTGATAAAGACTGCTGTCATTTGCCAGTTCAAAAATGCTACCAAAATAACTTGCTGATCAGGCAAAGCTGAGTTCATTGCTTACCAGAGTGAGGGAGACTACTAACTTGACAGACTTTGTAGCATCTCAGAGAAAGTAAGGAAGTTTACAGGAGCTAAATCGACTTGCTGAGAAATGTGTATTTTCAGGGAGCAACAAAGATGGTACGTGGTGAGGGACTATCTGATTTAAAGGAGACTCTGAAACCAAGCCAATGGTTCAGATGCTGCCCCTCTGTTAAGTGGGAGGCTCTTGCCACTGGATTACAAGAGGCTAAGCTATTTGTCTTTATTCTCATGAGGTTAAGGGCATGGTGAGATCTTGGATTTACTTATAGGTTGAGAGGTTTATCATGTTTAGTTAGGCCCCAAATGGGAAAACACTGAACAGCTCATTTGAACTCACAAAAAACAAGTTCATGTTTGTTCCCAGAGAAAAGGTTTGGTTACCAAGGACTTGGGTAAGTCAAATAGTGATATGGGAGTTTCAGAAAAGTTGGGAACACCCTGCCTGCAGTGGCCGGTGAGAGTCAGGAATCCTCATAACTGTCTCTTAGTTGACCGGGAACCTTTTGCACAGCTGGTTGTCTGGAGTAGGAGGTTTACCTCCATGGGATAAGTCTTGTCTTAAGTCATGTACTTTCCTTTGACAAATTGTTAACTTCCCTCTGGAACCTGTATGCCCGCTCTGAGCTAAAAGAGTAAGCAGAGAGATGAATCCACTTTAGAGCTCACCTCTTCTTTGGAACACAGAAGATTGTTCACGTGTTGGATTAGAATAGGATCACAAGACAGTTTCAAGCTCTGGAGGTCCTGGGTGGGGACTTGTGAAAAGTAGGAAGGCACCAAAGAAACTGAGGCATAGTGGTCCAGGTTTGTCACTGGTTTTCCCTGAAAAGGACAAATATTAACTTTTGATTTAAAGAGACATCAAAGAAAGCACAACATAGCTCTACAATTGTACAGCACAGAGTCAGTTTCCTTAGGTCTTGAGGATAAAATAGTATTTGAGTTTGGTTCTGAGGGGAAGCAAAGAGCGACTTACTTACGGCCCGGGGGGACCTAAGTGAATCTATACTCCTGCCTACAGGATTTTACGGCCCGGGGGGGGGGGGACCTAAGTGAATCTATACTCCTGCCTACAGGATTTTTGACTGGGGGGATGGGAGTGTCACAAAGACTAGGACAAGGTATGAAGACTCCTTTCTCTTTCAGGCTTTTGATGATTAGTTTTATTTCTCCTTCAGTACCTTGTTTTACAGGTTATTTTGCAAGTTTAGGTAGAGGTTTCTGTGGGTCAGTCTGAACCTTGAGGGGTTTAGCTCCAGTAGAGTATCAGTAGAATTGTTTGCCCACAAGAGAGCTTCAATCTATGCTTCATTTACACACAAAAGTACTGGTAAATCAATATCCACAATGGCTAGAACCTCATTATGAATAGGGAGGTCCTCAGGGACTGGAAGGAAGAGGCCACCAGGAGAGCACTTAATGTTTCAATCCATTCACACAGTAAATCCCTTGCTGTGAAGTTAATGAATTGTGGTGTCACAAAGGAGAAAAGAACATTCCTTGGTTAAAAGTTCAAGGCTGTTGGTTAGGCCCTGGGCCTACAGAAAGTGTGGTGAGGATTAGTAGACGCCTGACAGAGTAGTTTGTTGACTCCAAGGAAAAGGTTGTCCAGATGGTCCCTGATTTATGATGGTTTGACTTTCCAAACTTTAAGATGGTAGGAAAGTGATATGAGCCCAGTAGAAACCGCACTTTGAATTTTTATCTTTTCCCTGGGCTAGTGATAGGAGGTGAGATCCTCTCTTGTGATGTGGGTAGGGCAGTGAACCACAGTTCCCAGCCAGCCACGAGATCATGAGGGAAACCAACCAATACACTTACAGCCATTCTAAACCCAGAAGACCGTTCTGTTTTTCACTCAGTACAGTGTTCAATAAATTACAAGAGATATTCAACACTTCATTGTAAAATAGGCTTTGTGTTAGGTGGTTTTGCCCAACTGTAGGCTAAATTCTGAGCACATTTAAGGTAGGCGAGGCTAAGCTGTAAGTAGGTTAGGTTAATTAAATGCAGTTTTGACTTACAATATTTTCAACTTATGATGGGTTGAGGAAGATCTGTATAATTTTGCTCAGGTTTAAGGTTGATATTATTGTGACTATATTGATACAGGAAAATGGGGCATGAGAAGACGGTCGTGTCCCAAGTCTCGGTTGAGTCCCTGGGACGCGCCCCGCCAAGTGAGGGTCCTTGGCTTCACACAAGAAAGAATTTAAGAGCAAGCCATAGTAGAGTGAAGGTAGATTTATTCAGAGAGATGCACACTCCATAGACAGAGTGTAGGTATCTCAGAAGGCAAGACATTTGAGAGAGGCTGTGGAGTGCAAGGCTGTTAGTTTTTATGGGCTTGGTAACTTCATATGCTAACAAATGGGAGGATTATTCCAAATACTTTGGGGAAGGGGCTGGGAGTCCCAGGAATTAGGCCATCACCCACTTTTTGACCTTTTATGGTTAGCCTCAGAACCAACGCGGCACCTGTGGGAGTGACATTTAGTATGCTAATACATTACAATGAGCATATAATGAAGCTCAAGGTCTACTGGGAGTTGATTCTTCTGCTATCTTGGTACTAATTGATGTGTCGTTCTTTTAATGGTTGTGCCCTGCCCCCTTCCCTCCTGTCTCAATATCAATCAAAATCTATAAGATTGTCTTTTAATTTTTAGAGAAATGTTTCCTTGTGGGTTTAAGGGTAGAATGGGAATTGAACACCTTCAATGATAACTTTCTTTTTTTTTTCTTTTTCCTTTAGTTTCTTAGTTATAGAGCTCTTTCAAAATAGCTCAAGGTTTTGGAGGTTTGACCTTGGGGCTATTTCCCATCCTATTTTTTGCTTGCATATTAAATCCCCAATTTCTGTTTGAAGCCATTCACAAAAGGTAAGAGGGAGAGCCATGGTCACATCTGCTTTAGGATTTAGAACTGAATGCTGTCCCTATCCTTAAGTCTCCGTCAGCCTTCTCTCTCTTTGGCTTGAAGAACTGAATCAGACCACAATCTGTCTTCACAGGAAAGACAGAGGATAGCCTCCAAAAGACTTGACCCACACCTGCAGCTTCTCTAAATTCCTTCTCTAATCACTATGCAATTCAAGGTCTTTTCAGTCATTGTTGGCAGTCTTCCCATTCTGACTGTTTGATTGAACTTTTTGCAACATATGAACTGTGGTATATTATCTGGCCACCCTGGAGTATATGTCCCTCGAACTATCCTAAATTCCTCTGCAGTGTTCTATCTTGTCTAAGCCTTGGAGAGTCTTTGACAATGGCTTTCAGCTGAGAATGAAACCAGAGCTTAAAATTAACCATAAGAGGTTTTCTCTGTGCTGAAGGAGATTTACCTTAAAGAGGTAAGTGAGGTTTGGGGTATCTAGCTGGTCAGGAGGGAAGGAGAGGGTAGGTCAGAGAGAGAGAGAGATGGAGCAGCAGGAGATGGAAAACGTGGGATGGAAGAAGAGGAATAATGTGTTTGAGTCGCAGTTTGGGGGGATCTAAAAGACAGTTTTAAGTTCTAATTTTTCTTTTGAAAAGAATCTGTTAAGGAAGCAATTCTGGAATCCAATTTCTTTTGGAGGCTTCCTCATGCTAACGAAAAAATGAAGACTACTGAATGTTTGGAATTGTTCCCTTTTTCTTCCAAAGCACTTCTCAAGTGAATAACTTCTTTCATATCAAAAGTTCTTATAGGGGCCATTCTGAATTATCCTTGGTGAAATGATGCTATTTAGAAAGATAAGTGCACAAATTTGGGCAATAGCATAAATACAGGTAAGAAGCGGAAGTTGGGCCCAAGGAAGGCATGGACTGGGGTTTATATTAAGAGAACTCCATGAGAGCTTTGGACTGTCAGTCAAGAGTTGCTTGTGCATCCCGTGGCTCAGGGCCTCTCAGCCTCACAGCTAGACCTTATCCAACTGCAGCTGATGAATTTATAGTTCCCACCCGGTGAAGGGTGTGGAGAGATCTCTGCTGAACCAAATTCTCACAGACAAAACAAGTCTCAGGAAAGTTCTCATAGGGTGTTGATCAGTGGCCTGAGAAAATTTTTCACTGGGCTGGCTTAGGGACAGATTTATCAGGACCCACACCTGCCCTCTTCGCCATAAACTTTATTCTTCTAGATGCACAACAATATATGACCAGGACAGATACAAACAGTAGCTTGGTTAGTGATAAGGTGGATATCCACCAAGGAGAAAAGACTTTCAAGTACAGTCAGGTAATCAAAGAATTCCTTTAAAGGATTCCTCATTGCTGAGAAATAAAATGGACTCAGTATCTGGGAAGCTCAATAAAAAGGAGACTTAAAAAAAGAAATTGGCACTCAGGCCCAGTGCAAGCCTTACATCTCTCACTAGTGAAGCCCAAAAGACCCCCGAAGGGCTTGAGGGCCTCAGAGGAGCACGCTGTTTCAGAGTCAGGGGTCTTGCACTACAGTGGTGAAGGGGGTCTCCACTGGATCTCAGTGAGCCTCCGTAACTGAATGGTGGCTCCCTGAAAAAAACCATCAGAACAGCTTTATGATAACACAAGTCTGAGTTCGTTCTTATTACAGGAAGGAAGAACACTACTCTGCAAAGTCATAGTAGCATCTAGATTGGGGAGACAAAGTCAGGATATTTATGAAGTGTTGGGATCTATTTGAAGGTAGCTCTTTCAGTGAGGGGGCTTGATTAGGGCCCGGGCAAGAATCATGATACAATAATTGAAGGTTGCTGGATAGGGCAACGTGAGGGTTTTGAGGTGAGAGTTTCAAAAAGTCTCAGAGAGTAGAGTGGTTGGATGCTAACTATCGAAAAGTTGCAGTTTATTTAAACGGTTTTTCTTCTTGAAATTTCTGCAAAAAATGATGGTTACAACTTTTACCATCCCGGACAAGAGTTTCCTGCAATAAAAAAATCACATCAGTGTCAACAGTGAGCTGTCTAGGTGTTTGGTTCTTCCTGTGCACTGACTCAGAGATGTTACATACGATTATTCCAACATCCCCTTGCCTCCATCAAATCACTCTTGTTTATACTGGCTATTACAGTGGCAGTGAGTCATTAGGCCATCCAGAGGTGGAGGAAGCCTGATGGGATGTTCTCCTCACCTACCACTCCAGCTGCTTCTTTCACACTATTGGATTTGCCATTTGGCGTCTCCAAGGGCCCTGCATTCCCAACAGGAACCCTAAAAATACTCAATCTGAATGTAAATTAAACCCTTGGTTCACAGTCAACAGTTTTTTCGTCCACTCAGATCATCAGGGTATGTAATGTAGAGCACAGTGACAAACTACCTCTCCCGTGTTCCATAGTGACGTAGCCCAAACGCTGGTATATGGAAACCAAGTTTTACTTATTACCATGATTATTGGCTCATAGCATTTCTGGTCCATGATGTAACTCACGTCGTAATTATCAGTGCTGTGGACTGGCAGCCAAACCAGCCCTCCTAGAATGTTGACATGAATTCTGCCAGGGGCTGGCTCGTATAGTCTCATTTTGAATTGTCCCCTTTGTGGTTGTCTTGAGCTTTTTATGCCCTGGGATGATGCATATTAGTAAGATTCAGGATGGGATTTCATTGTTTAAAGGAGGGGAGGGAACAGGATTGTGAAAGGGCCAAGTGAGTTGATGTTCTAAGGTAGGTCCTTGTCAGGCAAGTTAATCTTAGTGAAGAGTGCATAGGAAAATGGACAAGCTGGAAAGTAATCTCTAAAACTATCTGTGCCTTGGCAACCTTGGAATGTCTGCACATATCCTCTAGTACTCATGCGCTGTATGAACAGTGATGTGTCATTATAACGGAATGGAGAGTTTAAAATTTTTTTTAAATCACCAACTCTGAATTTAAAATTCTTGGCTCAAATCACAGTCAGAGCCTCTTAAAATGTCTTAAAAGATCTCTTTCCTTTTAAAGTTGCTGAACATAAGCAGCTAAAATCCAGATTCAGTGCCTGATACCATGGGAACCCATATTACAACATAAGATGAATTTACAAACTGTCGGCTTAAAAAAATGTACAACGTAAAAAAGTTGTGAGTTAAGTTTTATTCAGGGAACTTACTGAGGACTATAGCCTGAGAAACGGCCTCATGGTTGCTCTGAGGAGACTGCTCTGAAGAGGCAGGGGAGAAGCCAGTATATATATACATTTTTTGGCTGGGAAATACCTGTGGTCAGGCATACATCTTGGTAAAAGATTACTGTTAATCACAAAGAACAGATATCTGGGGTAGGGGATATAGCTTGAATGGTAGAGCATATGTTTAGCATGCACAAAGTCTTGGGTTCAATCCCCAGTACCTCCATTAACAAAAATTAATTAGTTAATTAAAAAAAATAAAGAACAGATATCTATGTCTGGGAAGATGCAAGAATCTGGAGTCACTGAAATTTCTCCTCAGATATGCATCTTAATTATCTAGGGTCCCGGATATTCAAAGCACACAATGTTTCATCCTGATTTTTCATCCTGAATTCTGCTCAGGGTGCACTGTTGGTGGACAGCTGCAGTGGGTTATGACCCTCTTTGTTCTTTTTGTTTACACAACAAATGTCTCTTATGAGAAAGTTATAGCATTGATTAAGAACATATGGGACCTAGTGGGGAGGGTGTAGCTCAGTGGTAGAGTGCATACCTAGCATGCACAAGGTCCTGTTCAATCCCCAGTACCTCCATTAAAATAAATAAATAGTAAAATTGAAAAACCTAATTACCACCCCCCTACAAAAAAAAACTTCCCCTCTAAAAGAACAAAATAATATTCAATATCTTGTAATAACCTTTAATGAAAAAGAATATGAATATGGGGGGAAGAGTATAGCTCAGTGTTAGAGCACATGCTTAGCATGTATGAGGTCCTGGGTTCAATCCTCAGTACCTACATTAAAAATAAATAAATAAACCTAGTTACCTCCCCTCTTCGAAAGATAAATCACATTAAAAAAAAAAAAAAAGAACATATGGGACCTTGGGAATTAGAATGGTGGAATCTAGGTGGATTTCAGTCCGAGTACCTGGAATTCCTCACTGACTCTCCCTTCCCATAAAGGCAGTTTCTTCATTCCTTCCATCCTCTGATCCCTTGCTGTTACTCTCTGTTATCTGAGGCAGCAAGAAGCCCGTTGGCAGGGGAGGCTAAGAAATGCAATGCACTACAGGGGAAGAGTGAGGAAGGGCTCTGAAAGCAAATACACCCAGGACGGGATGGCCCCCGGGCTTCCTGCATGTGCTGCTAAAGTCCGCAGTCCTGCCATGGCCTCTCATTGTCAGGTGGATCTACTTTGTATTCTCCTCATCACAACCAATCACCAGCTCTTATCTGGTCGTTCTCACACCCGGCCCCATTAGAGGGCTTTGGAATTCTTGCTTTCTTTGGCTGAACCATGCTGCAGCTCGAGGGATTGAGGGCTTGAGGATGCTCTCAGGCCCATCTTCCTAGACATCACCCTCAGTATTACTTCTCCAACGTCCAGGTCCCATACTGGACCTCATGGAGCTTGCTATCTCCTGGAAAACACCCATCATGAGCCCTTGGGCAGAATCTTAAAGAGATTCTGCCCCAAAGAATGTCTGTTGGACGGCTCAGGGCACCCAAATATTGAGAGAGGACCAGGAGCCTTCTGAAAGAGAGGTGCTGCCATGTCAGGGGAACTGCAGGGAGAGCTCCTGAAGGGAATCAGGCAGAAGCACTCGTGAGTGAATCAGCATCACGTGTCAGTCAAACAGAGAGGGAGGAAGAGCCAGCTTATTGTACCAGTTAAGTGAGAACCTCCTTATCCCCCTTACCACTCTCCACTCCATCACCCCCACCCTACTCAACCCTGATGTGGTCATAAGAGTAGCTAGCAAGCAGGAGAAGATTTGGTGATGGAGAGAGAGGAACTTGGTTTTTTATTAGACAACTTTCTGTTCTATTTTTTTCTAGCCACATTCAGGTGTAACTTAGATCCAAAAAAAATTTTAATGAAATTTCAAGAAATGCACATTAATCATTGTAAACCAGCAAATAATTATGCAGATTGTACCATTCTCCATGAACAAGCTCCAATTTCATCTGAGCCTTCAACTCAGGCCAGAAAGTCTTCTATCTCCCCTAGGCAGCTTGCTTTCCCAATTATGCAATGATGATTCCAAACTCTGACCCATTCCATCTACCTGCCCTTCCCCCAATCACAGCATTCTCAGAAAATAGCCATGCCGCCCAAATTTCAGGCTAACACCCCTCTGGGCTTTGTATCCATTCTTTCCTGCCTCCTCAATAACCTGCTTCTTTCCATTTTGTCCACTCTGCTCTTTTCCATCTCATCTTTGCTGGCTCCTTCCCAAAAGGATTTAAACATGCACAAAGCCCTCCAACTTAAAGACAACCTTCTGGATCCTGTGTCCCCCTCTAGCTACTTTCCTTTCCCTCGTAGCCAATGCTCGAAAGGCTTGCCCAAGCTTGCTGTACCCAGTCTTACTACCAGCCACTCACCACCCACTGTACTTTGGGTACCACCAAGAACTCCACAAAAACTGCTGAGTCCCTAGTGACCTCCCACTGATAAATCCAGTTCACATTTGAGTGCACACCTTGCTTGACCTCTGTATCACTTAGGAATGCTTTGGACTGCAAGTTAACTCTCTTAGCGTGGCTGAAACAAATAGAAGTTCTCTGCACATAGCAGGGTACCTGGAAGTAAGCAGCTGCTGGTGCTAGTTCAGTGGCCCCACAGCACTGGAGCAACCTTTCTGAAATACTCCCCCACTCCCCTTCATGGCTGAGGATGACAGCTGAGGGGCTATGTCCCCATTCGGGGATGGAGGAAGGGGAAAGGTCTGCACCCACCCCTTGTCTCTTTTATCAGAGAATCAAAAGATTTCCCAAGTTCCCCTTATGTCTCATTGCCAAGAACTGTGTCACCTGGCCATCTAGCTGAAAAAAAAATGGGGAAGTGAGTGTTTAAAATTTTTCAGTCTTTATTGTGGAGACAGACAGGAGAGAAGGGTGTTGAAAATGGAAACTGAGCTATTATTCACTTTCACTCACCAGCGTTGGCCTGGTGTAGCTCCTTGGTTACCTAAAACCCATCCACACCCCTCTTTCCCATAGACACATATGACACGGTGGGGCACTCACTCAACCAGCTCCTACATACAACTTGGAGTCCAGGAACTCTGTGTACTGGGCAGGCCCCTCTTTCTGGTCCAGATGTAGCTTCTCATGGTCTGGTGATTTAAACTACAGGACAGGTTCATTTTCTGGTGAAATGAGAAAGATAGAAGTGTTGGAGAGAATGGGGAACAATAAAACAACCATAAGCTCTTGCTGGAGTAAACTGACACAGTGGAGGCAATTCAAAACAAAGCAGGTGGATAGAGATGCCACCTGTAGTCCATCTTTGCTACCTGGGGCCTCCACCTTATCTGCTGATAAAGCTGCCTCTTCACTGTCTCCATTTTTGCTGGGTTTAGCTTGGATAATCAAAGAAAATTGTTTATTTCAACCCGGCAAGGCTCTAAATTGTAGGACTCTGGCCACTTAGGTTGTAAGCTGCAGGTAAGATGTTCTTCTCTTACCAAGGCCTTATTTTCTTTAATCTCAGCTTTCAGATCAGTTATCTGTAATCTGGACTTGCCACTCTCTTGAAGGACTTGGCTGAAAGCTACTTTAAAAAAAAAACACAGAACAAAACCCCAACATTCACAAATGGTCTATATTGTTCCTGAGAGTTCTCCTGCAATACAACTTTGGTTGGCATGTAGGTTTTTTCCAAGGTCCAGCAAGTGACAGCAGTTGGACAGTGTCACTACTGCTTAACAAGTTGGTCACCAACTTCTCAATTTGGAACAGTCTTCACCACTGGCTATCTTAACCTTCAGTTAGCCAATTCCGCATTTTAGTGTCTGTTCGTGTCCTAAATCTGGCACCAAATTATTTGCCTATTACAAATGCATTCAGCTACAAGTTATAAAACACCTGTAAGTGGCTTGAACAAGTTTCTCTCTCAGAAACTAGAATGGGGCAAGGATGGAGGCAGGGAGGTCAATTAGGAAGTTCTCACAGTAGTCTAGGTAGCAGCCAATGGTTTCTTGGATGTCAATTATACCTTAATAAAGTTGCAGAGGGGAAGAATAGCTCCTAGAACTTGGCTTGAACAACTAAATGGATGGCGGTGTCATTCACTAAAATGGACAGAACAAAGAGGTATATGTTTGGGGTTGAAAATTAATTGGGGGGGGCAAGTTAAGTTTGAGATGCCAGTAGACATTCATGTGGAGATGTCAAGTTGTTTAGAGGAGTTAGAACTTATAGGCAGAGGTCATTGTTAGAGATATAACTTTTGGAGTCAACTGCTTGTAAATGGTACCTAAAACCATAAGTCTAGGTTGACTAGAAGATGAGAAGTCAGTGAAAGAACCCAAGAAAGAATAGCCAATAAGGTGGGGAAAGGACCAAGAGGCAGCAGAAAACAAGAGAAGAAAACATTTCAAAGTAGTAATGGTCAACTGTGATAAACAGTACTGAGAAGGCAAGCAACAGAGAACAAGAAGGTACAACGGAAATTGCATGGAGATTACAGTTTTAGTAGCATTGTGGGGAAGAAACCAAAAGCAAGATTATACAAATGAATGGGAATAGTCTATTAGAGAAGTAGCAATTGGTGATTCAAGACAGAAATGACACAGGGTAAGAGCCACAGAAAAAGTGGGAGCATTGGTTAAACAGAATGAGAACGCGTTATCCGTCTATCAGACACTGAGCTTGTTAAAGGAAGAAACCATGTCTTATTTGTATTTATGTCTCTGGTAACTCCCAGCACAGTGCCTAGTACATAGTAGGTATTCAAGAAATGTTACTGAATTAATGAATAAATGAGCAAATGGAAGTATGGATGGATGGCATATGCAGGGCTTGAAAATGAACTAACTCAAACTTCGGAGTAAGGAAAGGAGGAGTCTTGAATTAATAGGCTTTCTTCAGGAACTTTGGGGTCCTGGGATTTCTCTCTGGGATAGGGTTGACAGATTTCAAACTCAGATGAAGGTGGGAGGAGGAATGTGTACTGTCAATGGCAGTGGCCTTGGTCAACTTGTGAGGCCCTGATCTACTAAAGCAGACTGCAGGAAGGGTTCTGGGATCATCTACTAACTTAACCACTTCCTTTCTTTCCCTGTCTCTCCCTTTCTGAGTTCAGGCTCATATGAAAAATAATTATGTATCTTTATGGACACAGATGGGAGAACGGATTTTGAAAATGACAGTCCCAAATTCATTTACTCATATGGTCAATAGACATTCACTGAATGACAGTCTTGTATAGGAGGAAAAGTATAAGGGCAGAGTTATGCAGGGCTTATCAATTTGTTTCTTTCATTAATGGGTCTTTTTTTTTTTTTGGAAGAGATTTGTCCTCTCTTGAATGATAGCTGATTTCACAAACTGCATAAGTAAGATGGTGTTTGAACTGGGCTGCCCATAAAGTCTTGGTGGGACTCAGATACGAGTAAATGTGTATGCAGATGATGCAGCTTGTTGCATAGAGCAAGCAGAAGCTGCACAAAGGCCAACCTTGGAAATGTGGGATCCAAGGCCAGCTCCAGCATTTCTGACCTTTTCATTAGGAGAGGAATTAAGATTCCTATTGCTGACTGAAAGAAAAAAGCACAACATAAAAGTTGTGAGTTAAGCTTTATTTAGGGGACTTACTGAGAACTACAGCTAAGGAGACAGCTTCTCAGATAGCTTTAAGGAATTGCTCTAAAGAGGTAACGGAGGAGCCAGATATATATGAACTCTTGAGGGTAAAAACATGTAGTCAAGCATCAAAAGATTACTGCTAGTCACAAAGAATACATACCTCAAGTTAATGATTTTAGCGCTCTTCTATGTATAAGGAGGTGCAAGAACCTGGGGTTATTTGAAATTTTCCATTAGATATGCCTCTTAACTGTCTAAGGGCCAATATATCCAAAGCACAGAGTATTTCCTGTTTTTCTCCACCCTGAATTCGCCTCAGGGTGGACAACTGCAGTGGCTATAGATCCTTATAGAACCGGAATGGCAAGCAACATTTTTTTCTTTGCACTATTATCTTCCCACTTTGCAGTCAGTCAGAAGAACCCAGGAACCTGTAAATGTGGAGGCAGAGGTGGAGCTGTAAGCCAGCTTTGGCGCCCGCCCCAACCACATTCGGCATCCTACCTCCTCGCCCTTCCTGGGGGCTTCTGGGGTTGCCTAGCAACCTGCCGAGACTCTGGGGGTTCAGGTAGCCGAATTCAGGCTCCAGCCCACTGTCGCCCTCCGGAAGGTAGGCAGAAAAAAAGCCTCCAACCGGCCCCTCCTGGGCCTGAACCCGTTACACTTGGAATCACCCCAGCTGCCCACACTGCCAGGCGCCGAGCAGGGGCGGGGCTCCGCGGCGCCAATGGGCGGGCAGAAGGGAGCGCGCGTGCGCATAGCGGGTGGGGGGGGCGGGGCCGAGAAAAAGGCCTTCTGAGGACGGGTGCTGGCGAGGCTCACGCCGGAGGGCTTTGCCTCTGGAGAAAGCTGTTTAGCGTCCCGTGGCAGCGAGGGTGAGTGAACCAGGGAGCAGCCGCGGTGGGCCTGCGGCCTGTGAGGTCTGTGACCCAACGTTGGAGGAGGGGGTCTGCGGGGTGGCATTCAGCGGGGTGGGATCCCGGAGTGCCTTCGTGGAGTTCGGGGCTTCGGGCTCAGGTTGGAGGCAGGAGCGGCCGGGGGAGGGGGGGGGGAGGCAGCAGCAGCCTTGGGAAGCTAGCCGACTAGCAGCCGAGCCTCTCTCCCTGGGCAAAAGCCGCAGGGATTTTAAAATGCGTGGTGGCCCCGGCCGGGACCGACCTCTGCCCTCTCGGAGGACCTGCGGCGGACCTGCTCACGGCCCTGAGCCCTTACTCTCCGTCTGCCGCTAGTACCCCGTCTCCCCTGGGGAGACAACAAACTCGTCCTGTCTGCCTGTGAGCCTGGCCAGGCTGTGCGGGGGCGGAGGCAGCTTGCATTGCCCTCTTGTATTCCCTGTCTGGGCATCCACCATCTACCCAGTTGCCCAAGCCAGAAACCTGGGCGTCGTTCTCACCCTCTGCACTCTTTACCCACTCACATCGAATCCATGACAAATCTCTCTTGGGTACACCCACTTCTCCACGCCCGGTCCCTCTGCTCTCGCTAGTTCAGGCCATCGTCATCTCTCTCCTGGACTATGTCAGTAGCCTCCGGACTGGTCACCTGTATCCCTTCCCCATCCTTTATAGTTTATGTATGGAAAGCCAGAGCGGTGATCTTGAAACACAAATCCGAACAGATCACCAGACCCCTCTCCCCATTGCCTTACTGCCCTTCCGTGGATTCCCATTGCTCATCCAAGTTCTTGAACAGGGCTTTACAAGGCCCTTCACGACCTCTCCTCTTTTTCCTTTACTCTAACTTGTCCATCACTATACTGTCTTCAATTATATTGAACCCTTTTTAGTTCCTGAATTCTACCAAGTTACTTCTAGGCTTAGGTGTTTGTTACATTATGTTTCCTCTGCCTGAGGTGCTATCCTTTAATTGCAAGAATAATCCTTCATGTGTTAAGACAGGGATGGGTTGGGGCTTTGTGATACCCGATAGTTGTCTTATTTACTCATCTCTCTTTTCCATGACGTGGTAATATGTGTGATAGCAGCCTCTCTGTCACAGTCCTAATCTCAGTACCAAGCTGTTCACGAAGAATTAGTTAAATGTATAAATGAAGTATGGCAGCTCCTTGGGCTCTCCAAATGAACAAATAGATGAAGTTATTAAGTGCTCGTTTTTTGAGAACCAGTTCTCAATCCCCAACCTGTGTAGAGGTTTCTTTGGGCTAGGAACTTGGTTCTTTTCTTGCCTTCAGTCCAGGACTACAGCTGTTTTAATTGGGGAAGTACCAGTCAGAGTTTTTCTTTGGCCTTGACTCCGAGTACAGGATGTCTGGATGTTGGTGAGCATGGCTACCTTGAGTTTGAATTCTTAACTGAGGGCCCCAGCATGAGAGAGAAGTTGCGAACAGCAGCTGTGATTTCTTTGGGAGGAAGGCTGGTTCCAAACTCTTGCATGATAGTAAGACTAAGGACACAATGAGAGGGAGGGTGGGCCAGGCCAAACCACTGGTGGGAGGGCTCCGAAGGGAAGTTATTTTTCTAGCTTAGGTCAGATCCTCTATGATAGGGAACAACATACCAAGGTGCCAGGACCCACCACCCTAATTCAGACATGAACGTGTGCTATGCCCAGGTCAGCTCAGTACTTGCCGACAAATTCAGTAGGCTAAAGGAGAGATGGAAAATGGGTTCCTGGCTCTCACAGGAGGAGGAAACGAGAAAAACAAAAGGAGAACAATATATGAGCATATGTTAAGGCTAAGTGAGTGTGAGAGACTGCAGACTGAGGTCAGAGGAGGAAACAGTTGGTCTTGGCAGGAAGAACCCCGAGATGACATTTGAATTGGGCCTGGGAGGAAGAGGGAGGACTGAGAGATGGAACCAGTGGGAGCAAATGCTCTGGGCCTGGAAGAGGCTGCTGGAGTGGTGAGGGAAGCCCTGCTAAGTCAGGGCACTGAGGGAGCCCACTGCTGACCCTGTTCTGTGCTTCCCTCCCAGGACGGACCGACGCTTCTCCTTGTGAAGGATCTCAAAGTGTGGGTTGTGTTCAGAAGTCTTTTTCAGAAATCTCTCTTCCTTTGGATTTTCTTCCAGCCTGGCCTTTATAATTTCTCAAAGGCCTGTGAGCCCAGAACTCCTGGGGCTTATCTGCCAAACTCTGTTGTGGCCTTGAGCTAAATAGTTGGAGTGCAGATGATGCAACTTGTGTTTTTGGCGGAAGGGAGTTGCTTATATTTCCTTTTCAATGTGAGCAGTTTAATTTGTTAGGTGGCAGTCAGATTCCCCATTCTCATTGTAGCACTCGTAGGGGGAAGTTTCTTTTCTGTGTTTGTACATTTAGCTTTTGTTGTCTTCTGATGGTTAGAAAACTGTGACAGCAAACAAAAATGGGGTAAGTCCAAAAAGGATGATCCTTGGCCTTTATCCTGCCTCTCTTGAAGAGGGGATAATTTGGAGCCAAAGTTACTGTATTGCCAGTCACTTGGTTGCTTTTTGATGTTATTTGAATAGAACCTCTTTCCTCTCCCTGCCCCTCTCCCCATCTGATATTCTAAGCATCCAACCACATAGTTACAGGAAATGGTGCCATGAGTCCAGTGACCACCTACCTCTACTATCTGATAAATATCTCCAAAAAATGTTTTATCCTCAATTACAATGACATCAAAACTTGGCAACATATCTGTGAAGGTGGTAATCCCCCTAGCCCCCAAGGACCATGGCACACAGGCTGAGAACCACCAGCCTCTGTGCCAGGCACTGTGCCCCATGCTGGGAATGTGGATCTGGTCCCCATGCCACAGAGCCCCGTCCAGCTGGGGGCACTAACAGGTAATCAGCAAGGTCAAGGATGCATGCAGAGCTGTTGTAAGTGATGGACAGGACCCTTCTGAGGGAAACACTTAGGAGCATATGGGAAGAATGCCTGAGCCAGACTGGGAACTGAAGAAGCCTTGCTGGGGAAGGAGACATTAACACATATGAATCTGAAAGGCTTGGTTGGAACTGGCTTCCCCTTCTGGTGCCTCCTGACCCAGAACTGTATGGAATGTGCTCAGAACAAGTCATTCTGCTCTGATCAGGGCAGTCTCTGCTGAGGGTAACTTGAGACCTTGTTTTCTGGTACCAGGTAGAGTGGCAGTGGCCTCATCAGAGTCTGGACACTTTTATTTAGTAAAATTGGAGTATAGTTTCTGGCTGTTCCTTAATTATTTTCTAGAGATGAGAGTTAATTGGGATGGCCTTTTTTATTCCATCCATATAGTACTGGAACAAAATTATGGCATGAATTGAAAATTAAGTAAATATTTGTAAAGAAAAAACATGTTTATAGTAGAAATTTTAGAAGTAATAGAGAAGTAAAGAGAAGAAAAATCAAAATCTCTCCTAATCTCATAATTCAGAAAATAATCTTTGTTAATAGCTTTTAATCATTGTTTTGTGTATGAGGAAGATACATACATTGTTTTGTTTACTATTGCAATGAATTATTCTTTACAGAATTTTGTAGCCTACTCTTTCTCTTGATATATACTGAAAATCTTTTTCTATTATTAACTATGATAGATTGCATTATGATGTCCCTATTCATTAGTAAGATTACTCATTTTTGAAAAAAAATTGATTAATTTTTATTGATGTATAGTCAGTTTACAATGTTGTGTCAATTTCTGATGTACAGCACAATGTTTCAGTCGTACATGTACGTACATATATTCCTTTTCATATTCTTTTTCATTATACATTACTATAAGATATTGAATATAGTTCCCTGTACTATACAATATAAACTTGTTGTTTATCTATTTTATATATAGTAGTTAGTACCTGCAAATCTCAAACTCCCAATTTATTCCTTCCCACCCTCTTTCCCTCCTGGTAACCATGTTTGTTCTCTGTGAGTCTGTTTCTGTTTTGTAAATAAGTTCATTTGTGTCTTTATTTTTTAGATTCCACATATAAGTGATATCATATGGTATTTTCCTTTCTCTTTCTGGCTTACTGCACTTAGAATTGTGATCTCCATGGCCATCCATGTTGCTGCAAATGGCATTATCTTGTTATTTTTCGTGGCTGAGTAGTATTCCAGTGTATGTATACACCACATCTTCTTTATCTAGTCATCTGTCGATGGACATTTAGGTTATTTCCATGTGTTGGCTGTTGTAACAGTGCTGCTTAGGTGCTCCTTTTTGCACCCTAGAAGTGACTGTTGTCTCCTTAGGGACGATACTGCTGACAGGTCAAGTGGGTTTGAGAAATTTTCTTAAACATTGTGGGGATGGCATTCTTCTGGGGTCCTACCCCGCAGAGCCTTTTGGGGTGGTGAGAGGGCCTGCAGCACCCATCCTCCTCAGCCCCAGAAACAGAGCCGAGATGGCGGCAGCTTCAGAACAGAGCACTACGAGGCGTATGCAAGGGTGTGACCAGTACCTCATGCTTTCTCACTGCTGTGGGTTTTGTGGCTGCCGTTGGCCCATTAGAAATGACTGGTCCTTGTTATCCAGGGAAGTGAATGTGTCAGTGAGGTCTTTTCTTTGTGTTGTGTGGAGGTCTCCTGGCTGTCTTCACCTTCCTTTTTGAGGTCAGTCTGTAAGCCCCTGGAAGGACCAGGACTTTCAGTTGAACAGGAGTTAATAAAGGCTTGCCTGCGCCCTGGTGGGGTATGGATGGGGACCAAGCACTCCTGCCTCGGGGAGCTTGCAGTGTAGCTGACCATGTCTTCTTGTTGACCACAATTCCAAGTCTGGCCAAACCCCGTGAGTACTTGATGGAACCTAATTTCTATGGAACTCTCCTCTCCAGGGCTCTTTCACTGCGGTTCAGTCACTTGCCTCTGTCACAGCCCCGGAAGATGGCCAAGGCAGGGATTAATGTCCTCTATTCCAAGTCCACTGCCGCAGGCCTTGATCTAACCTGCCTCATCTCTTTCCTCAACCCCTGTCTCTGGTCTTGCTCCATGAAATACCTTCCCCGCCACACTGCCAGATGAGCCATTCTGAAACCAAGCTCCTGTTCATGCAACCTCAGCAGCTCCCGTTTATCTCGGGAAACGTCAGCCCCCTTGGCCTAGTGTGCAAAGCCACATCCAGAACAGCCCAGTCAGCCTTTGCAGCCTGCTGCCCACTGTTCCATCTGCTTCAGACCCTCTAGGCTTCTGCCCGACTGGACCACTTGGAGTTTCTTTGCCACGTGTCTGCATGGACCCCTCTGCTCGCACCTCCCCTTAGTCCTTCAGTCTTGCACGTCCACTGCGCGCTCATCCACCCGGGCCAGCTGAGGTGTCCCCACCTTCTCTGATTTTCCCTTGCCCAAAGGAAATTTCTTTCTCTGACCCCTTAGAGGATTTTGTCTTTCTTTAGTACACCTCATTTTCCACCTTTATTAGTGTTCTTGGTAGGAGGTATTTCTCTCACCATACTGCAAGCTACTTGTAGGCAGAAATAATCTTCAAATCCCTGTAAACGCTCAGTGGGTTGCTTGGCATTCTGAAGGTGCTTCAGGAAATGTCTTGGACCTACTCGTTTGAGTGATGGAGACCTGGAGTGCCCAAGGTCACCCGCAGTCTGGTGGCAGAGCTGGCCTGGGCCCAGTCCTCCTCTTCTCCAGCCTCGTCCCTTCACCAGGGTCCCCAGGAGCAGACAGTGTCAAGCCTTGAGAGAACCTCAGCTCTGGTGTTCTCACCTTCATCTTCTGTGTTCCCCACCTCCCAGGTACCAGTGACCATGAGGGCTCTGCGGCTGCTCAGAACCTCCTTCCTGTGCTGCCTGCTCTGGGCCTTTTGTGCCCCAGGTGCCAGGGCTGAGGAGCCTGGGGCCAGCTTCTCCCACCCCGGCAGCGTGGGCCTGGATAAGAACACAGTGCACGACCAAGAGTACGTATCAGCCAGGGCTGTGGTCCAGCGGCCTCCCTGTCTGCAGCTTTTTCTTTCTGCTATTTGTATGACCTCTTGATATTTTTCAAGGATGGTATTTATTCCTTATCGTCATCTGTAAGTCAAGTATTCTTTTTTCATCATCATATCACAGATGGAGGATCTTGAGGCCCAAAAAGGGTAGGTGACTTGCCTGAATTCATTCTCTCTCTCTCTTTCATTATAGACAGACAGACAGACAGACAGACACACACACACACACACACACACGGCCAGTGGTAGTGGCAGAGTCCAGAACAGAGCTAAGTTTTCTTGCCTCTGACAAGACCTTTTTGTTCTTTTTATTGGTACATTCAAACATTGAATCATTTGTTGCAACTTTTGCCCTGGGTCAGTTAGCCTCACATATTATACTTTGTTATCCTTTCGTTTATTTATTTTTAGAGGAGGTACTGAGGATTGAACCCAGGACCTCATGCATGCTAAGCATGCACTCTACCACTTGAGCTGTACCCTCCCCTATACTTTGTTATCCTTGAATTGCTTTAAGAAAAAAAAATTTAATAGCTCCCCAAAGTGTTGTAACAACACTCTAATAATAAAAAGGAAGAAACACCCATAATTTTACCAGCAGAACAGATGAACTGTTTAATTTTTCTTCCCTGGTCCTTTCATGGCCTTGCCTTTATCTGTCATCTTTGAGTGTGGTCTGCCACTGTTTCTGTTTGTTTTTTGGGGGATGAATAAACTTTAAGATCTTGAACTTTGCAGAGTCCTTATAATTTGGTAAGGACTGGTATGATCCCAGCATAGCTGCCAAGTGGTCTGAGTCTCACTGTTGGTTTTTAGGCATATCATGGAGCATCTAGAAGGCGTCATCAACAAACCAGAGGCGGAGATGTCTCCACAAGAACTGCAGCTCCATTATTTCAAAATGCATGATTATGACGGCAATAATTTGCTTGACGGCCTAGAACTCTCTACAGCCATCACTCATGTCCATAAGGAGGTAGGTCAGGCAGCCGCTCAGTGGGCAGCGTCTTGGAAGGGCTTCCCTTTGGTAATTCAGTCCCCTATCCTGATGACTTCCTCTGTCTTGTGCAGCAATATTGCTGCTTCTCCTTCTTCTGCTCACCCTCTGCTCTGCCTCTTTTCCTGTTCAGCTGTCGTCACAAAGGGTGACCGGCTGAGGCAAAAGCCCCAGAGCCCTGTATCTTTAGCAAGTTTCTCAGGCATTTCTGTTGCACATCAGAGGATGAGGACCAGAACCTATAAGGCAGGCCACATTCAAAATGCAGAGCAGGGGAGAAGGGGTATCGTTTGAGAAGAATGGTGAATCAGAACCAAGGGATCGAGGAACTTGGTGATAATTGAGGGTTTGGGTGACCCTGTGCAGTGCTTGTAGTTTACAAAGCATTTTCCGGTAAGGTAGAGATCTCCTTTGATCTTTGCAACAGCCTGGGAGTAGGCTGGGACCGGCCTTGTTATTACCTTCATTTTAGAGGTGAGAAAACTGAAATCCAGATCTTACGTCTCCAAATCTGATGTCTGTCCCTCTCTGGCACACACAGCCTCGAGAGGGGAGGAGAGGCAAAACTGGGGAGGTGCATGTGTTCACTCTGGCCACCAGGAGAACCGATCTGAGTTTGCGTTGAAGGCGGTGGGGAGTGCAGACAGCTCTGGGCAGGAGGCAGGCATGACTAGCGTTTGCCGTGGGAGGCAGACTGATGGGTGCGAGGAGAGACTGGCATCAGGGAGAGGAACTGGGGTTTAGCAGCCCTGGTAGGCAAGGATGGCAGTGGCAATAGAGGAAAGGGGGCACGCGGAAGTGGCAGAAGAGGAATCAGCCAAGGACGTGAACAGCGTTAGCTCAGTGGTGGGCACCATGAGCCCTGCCACACCTGCTTCTGGAGCAGAAATGCCTTCACCTCTAAGAGCATAATGGGGTCTACTAGTCGGCAGTGCCTTCTTCCTCTTGTTCTGACCCTGAGATGTTGTTCAGCGTGGACTGTTTCCACTTCAGCAGAGCTGACCCAGGGAAGGCCTGGGCTGTGAGCTTTTCCTTAAGATGGGTTGTGGGTCCTTGAAATCTGTGAAGCTCAGAATTCTGTATAGGCCAGACTCAGCTTTCTGCAATGAACATGTATTACTTTTGTAATGAGAAAAGGATGAAAAGTAATTTTTAAAAGGAATGATCAAGGGCCTCCATTGATTACATCAGCCTTTTAAGTGGCAAATATCATTTCTAAATTGGGGTATTGTGAATTGACTCTGTATCTGATAGTTCGTGGATTCCTAGAGGTAGCCACATACTACATTTGAAGGAGTTTTGGGCATTTTGTTTTGGACATTAACCAAGTACTTCCAGTAAAAGGTGCAGCTCATCATTGTCAAATTTGTAACTTGTAGGAAGGGAGTGAACAGGGACAAATGAGCGAAGATGAACTGATCAAGTTAATAGATGGTGTTTTGAGAGACGACGACAAGAACGACGACGGATACATCGACTATGCCGAGTTTGCAAAGTCACTGCAGTAGGTGGGACTTGGCCACCTCCTGGTTACACGCGAATGTGACCCACTGTAATGTGACTGGACACTTCTGGTAATGCAAAATAACTCATTTCCAAAGCACTGCTGCGGTATTTTGGGAAAAATCTGTAGCAATTTGTTGACACTGGGGTGAGAAAGAGGAATCAAGAGAAATAAAAGAGGAAAAATGGGACATGGTGTGGTCCCCAAGAACTGTTAAATCTCTTATTCGACAAGGGCTTGATTAAAGAATCCTTTTGAGAATATTGGCTATTGGAGCTGAGCACTCAGGAACTTGACGGAAAGAGTACTTCCAGGCTCTTGGTTTTAATTCATGCTACTTGAAAAGTAAGATGAGCTTTGCCAACTGGACACACTTTTCAGTAACAGTGAAGGAGTGGAGTGAATGCCAAATGTTTCCCCTACTGGGTCCTGTTTCTTCAGGTCAACGTGGTCAGTAGCCTGTAAAGTGCTCTTGGCCTAAAGAATAACTTGCTCTGGGCACTTTGGAAATGACACACCACTGACCTAACTCATTAACCTTTTTCAGTTTTTCAATATCTTATAAAACTACTGCCACAATCTTAGACTTTCTTTCTTTCATGTCTCTTTCAACCTAGGAGAGACCTCAAATCTAAAAGTTGTTCTCTACTTCTAATCATTAGCAAACGTTTTAGCTTTCTAAATATTTATATTTAACTCTCGTTTCTAGGGTTTTGTTTTTGCAGTTTAGAAACTATTAGGAAATGTAAGGACTTTATCTCTTCTGCTTGATACAGCAGGGATGAACTAGTAGCCGGTCTAGCCTAAGTGAGAAGTGAAGAGATTCTTTACCAGGCACAGTGATCAACCTGATACACATTAGATTGAGAAGTGATGTTTAAATGACCTCATCTAGCCTGAATACGTGAATTCTTTTTGATCAGGAAAGATTAGAAAAAGAAGCCAAAAAACTCTTAACAGTGTGAATCTCAACAGTAATTGAAATGAGAAGCAGCAACAGGTTTATTGGCTGTGACGGAAAGGCTGCGATAAGAAACCTGAAATGATGGTTGAATGGGGAAAAAAAAAGCTGCATAAAATTTGCTGTAAGATATATAGAGACTTATTTTCTTTCTTAAAATATTCTTATAAGAAAACATATAAGTATTTGTAAAAATGGTTTCCTGTGGCAAGTATTTGTGCGATCAAAGCTGAATTGTAAACTATTCTTGTAATATCGAGTTATTTTGAAAGATTTATATAATGAATTCTGGATATATGACCAATAAAACTGAAGAAACAAAAGGAAGAGCAGTTGATATTGTCCACGGAGGCTGCTTCTCCTACCACACGAAGGGTTGGTTGGCTTAATGCAGATGTTTACATGTGCCTTCTCCATCCCAGGTGCTGTGACCTCCCCCAGCTCTACCCTGTTCCTCTCTGCAGGGGTAGATTCCCAGTATTCAAAGTCACTTCCTCCCTTTAGGCATCTTTTTTCGCTCTGAATGAAATCACTTTTTGGACCTTTCTTCTCCGGCCAAGTTCAGATTATGACGGCATTCTCCAGCTTAGGAAAATACGGTGTTTTCTCCTTGAGTCTGGTGACTATTTTTCCTTTGCCAGAAAATTTAATTAGATAGCGTTACTGAAAGCGTCCCAGGCCCAAGCAAAAAGCGCAGTCTCCTCTGGCTTTTTGGAAGTGACACTTTGTTCTGCCAGTTGCAAAGTGAGCAAGGGAAGAAATTCCCATTGCCTTCCTACCGACCCCCAGCCCTGCCCAAGACCCTATCTTGCGCTGACCCTTCTCATCCAGAGGAACTTAGATAACAAGTGAGAATGTTCTAGTTTGTGGTGTTAAAAATTACATTGTGGTGTCTCTGTGCCTAAAGCCTTTTCTATCTTTACTGTTATTTCCTGAGGAAACAATTACTGAGGTTTGACTAATTTTAAGCCATGGTAAGTACTGCTAAATTGCTATTCTCGGAAAGTTGGGCTAATTAATACTCATCACCATTGTATATAAAGAGCTGTTTCCTTTAGCTAGACCCATAGCATATCCCAACAAGTTTCCCTAAACCTAGAGCAACCAGACATCAGTGCTTTTTAATTTTTGTTCAGAATAGCACAATCCACACCAGTGTTATATATCTACCTACCATTTGTTCATTTGCTGATTTATTTCTTGGGTATTAGTTATGTGTTTGTCATCTAACCTCTCTGGTCTAGTTTTTGGATTTCAGTACCTCCTGGAAGAGAGGAAAAAGAGAAAAGCCTTTCATCGTAGGCCAGGCTTCTCTTGAAGATGCTGAGGGGAACACAGAAATATTTTTGCACAGCATCTCCAATAAAAATAAAAGCTAAATTACATTTCAACTTTAAGAGGGAATCCATTATATCAAGGACTCAACCAAATATCTAGCATTTCACCAGGGAATTAGCAGAAACCATTATGAGACATTATGTCTGAACTTTTTGGACATCAAAAAAAAAAAATACAGGACTTTTGCTTTTGGGAAAATGGAGTAGACACACTTCTCTATTCCTCCAACCAAGCACAACAAAACCCCAGGACATGAGGCACAAAACAAACATAGGAGACTCTGAACGGTGGAGAGAAAAAGGCAGACTGGACAGAAGCCTTGGGACCTAAGCAGCAACATGGTGGTGAGTTCCCTGTCTTTCTGGTTTTTTTGTTTGTTTGTCTTTTGCCTCATATATCCCAGACTTGGAGCTAAGGAAGCTGGCAACCCAGAAATGCCAGAAGGCACAGACATAAAAAAGCCCCAATGAAAACCTGCTCCCTAGCCAATGATGAAGAAAGGGGCAGCTTCACAAGGCAGAACACTTTTAGACAATAAGTACTCTACTCTAGCCAAACACCACTGGGAAAACTGTGGCCCTGCCAGCAGAGACTTCCGTCCTTGCCAGCCTGTAATGACGTGCCTCTCCTCCCTATATTTGAAGTGATGCCAGAGGAGGCCAAGTAGGGTGCTGGGACTTTCATTCTTCCCACCCCCTGGGCAGTACCAAGGCCACCCTCCTGCCCATAGGATCTGTGGAGAACACACAGGGAACCTGGATCTGGAGTGGATCTGGAGTTCCACCCTCACCTGAGTCCTCTTCCCCTTCCTTCTGGGTGTGTCAGAGGAGGCCTAGTGGAGGGTCAGGATTTTCCCCACTGCCTGGTGATAACAAGGCTACCCCCACCACAGTGTCAGTAGAGACCACGTGGTGAACCCAAACTCCCACCCCGACCTGACAGTAATGAGGAGCTACTGGACTTGTGTTTCAGTGGAGGCCAAGTGGGGAGTCTAGACTTCTATTCCACTTGTCAGTAACGTCAGCTGGAGTGATGTCATAGAAAACCAGATAAAATGAGCTTGAGTAAGATCCAGTTTTGGTGGGTGGGTATAGCTCAATGATAGAGTGTATGCTTAACATGCACGAGGTCCTGGGTTCAATCCCCAGTACCTCCAATAAATAAATAAATAATTGTTTAAAAATCCAGTCTCATTGCATAACAGGAAAATGTCCAGGTGTCAGTTTAAAAAAATCACTTATCATACCAAGAGATAAGATCTCAAACTGAAGGGAAGAAGCTGCTGATACTGAGGAAGCAGACGCTATCTGTCAAATATCTGTATTAGCTTTTAGGTAATTAGATGGTTTAAAACTATCTGACGAAGATTTTAAAGCAGTCGTGATAAAAAAATACTTCAAACAATCACAAACATGTATGGAATAAATTTTTAAAACCCAAGTCTCTGTGAAGAGATGGATATTATAAAGAAGAACCAAATGGAAATGTAGGAACTGGAAAATAAAATAACTGAAATAGAACCTCAGTGTATAGGCTCAGCAGCTGAATGGACAGGACAGAGGAAAGACTCAGCGAACTGGAAGATAGGGCAATCGATTTTTACCTAGTCTGACCATCAGAGAGAAGGTAGACTCAGGGACCCATGGGACTGTCACAAAAGATCCAACATTCCTCCTTTCATCAGAGTCCCAGAAGAAGAGGAAAAGAAGATTGGAGCAAAAAAAAAAAATCCTCAAAGAAATATGGCTGAAAACCTTGGAGATTTGACAAAAGACACGAGTCTACCAATTCAAGAAGCTGAGTAAACCCCAAAGAGACTAAACCCAGAGAAACTACACCAAGACTCATCAGAGTCCAACTTCTGAGAACCAAAGACAAAGGAAAAAATCTTAAATGTAGCGAGACAGAAACACCTTACCTATAAAGGAAAAACAACTTGAAGAAAAGAACTTTTCTCATCAGAAACCATGGAAACCAGAAAGCGCAGGCACACAGTTTTCAAGTACCAAAGAAAAGAGCCCTCAGTCCAGAATCTTATGTCTAGTGAGAAGATCCTCTCTGAGTGATGGGGAAATCAAGATATTCTCAGACAAAGAAAAATAAAGAGACTTTGTCACCAGTAGATCTCTAAAAAAACAAACAAACAAACAAAATGGCTAAAGGAAGTTCTTTAAACACAAAGGAAACAATAAAAGAAGGAAACTTAGAACAGCAGGAAGGAAGAACATGGTAAATAAAACAGACTTTCCTTCTCTCAAATTTTCTAAATTATGTTGGAGCAGAGATTATAACAATCTGAGGTGGTTCTAAATGTTTGTAAAGGAAATATGTAAGGCAGTTATACTGCAAATGCAGGAGGGTAAGATAATGCAAAGGTGAGTTTTCTTTACTTCACTCGGACTGGGGAAATGATGAAAGTGAAGTGGTACAGCCACCCTGAAACACAATGTGGCAGTTTCTTAAAAACTAACACTGTAACGACCATATGATTCAGCAGTTGAATTCTTGGACATTTATGTTTGCATGAAAACCTGCCCATGAATGTTCACAGCGACTTTATTTGTAACAGGCAAAAAGTGGAAACAACTTAAAAGTCCCTCCACAGGTGACTAAAGAAGCTATAGCACGTCCATACCACGGGACCCTCCTCAGCAGCCAAAAGGAGCAAACTGTTGATACGGGCAGCAGCCTGGATCTCGTAATAGAGCATTATGCTGAGTGAAGAAAAGCCAGTCCCCAAGGGTTACACACTGCATGACTCCATTTATATAGGGTTCTGGAAATAACAAAATTACAGAAATGGAAAACAGATTTGTGGTTGCCAAGAATTAAGGAGGGGTTGGGAGCAGGAGAGGAGTGGGTGTGGCTGTACAAGGGCCACCAGAGGGACCCTTGTGGTAACAGGAATCAATATCCCTGTGGAGGTACTGCATTATAGTTTTGGAAGGTGCTACCATTGAGGGTAACGGGGTCAAGGGTACACAGTATCTCCCTATGATTTCTTACAACTCCGTGTGAATTATCTACAATTATCTCAAAATACAAAGTTTAATTTAAAAAAAAAACGGTGTTGAAAGACATAGGCTTTTCAACACCACAATGGCAATTTTAAACTTAGGACCTTTGGGACTGTGTTAGAACAGGCCTGTTGCTTGGTGTTAGAGCCCGAGGGGCTGCCCTGGCAGTGCTCACAATTAGAGCCTTCTTTCAGAGACTCAGAGAATTTGCTTTGCTTTGCCAGAAATATTGCACTGGGCATTTTCTGTCCGTGAATGTTTAATTGCCTCCCACTGGGTGGCTGGGGAAGAACATACAGGTCATGCTTGCCAAGGCTAAGAGGCCCTGCTCCCCAGGGCGGGAGAGGGGGTGGTGAGGAAGTCCTTGCACTTCGGTGGAGGAGGTCTGTGGGGCTGGCCTAAGGGGCTGGGCTCCCACAGGACCCAAAAAAACTGAGTGTCCCTTCCCCCTGGCTGTGGGTACAGCCAAAGAGGAGTGGAGCGGGGATGTGGTGAATCTGAGAGGAGAGACCCAACAGGTGTCCACACTGAGATCTTGGGAAGAGACTTGGAGCCTCATGGATGTCAGGGAATCAGTTCAGGCAGTCGTACGGGTGTCATTCATGGGGCAGGCTCTGGCGCCCGTGAATAAATTCTATGAGCTCTGTGGGTTGTGAGATGGGAATGGGGTAACCATTTCTCCTCTAATACCCAGGAGTATAATTGCTCTTAAATTACTCACTGTTAATCAAGTTATAACCGAATATCCAAGTCGTATGAGAAGTTGCATGCTGTCCTGTGCTTGGGTTTTTTTTTTTATTATTAATTCTTATTATTTACTGAAGTGTAATTGATTCGAAATAATGTATTTTTTTAAATGCCAGATAGATATGGTTTAAAGTAAGATTCCAGTCCCCATCAGTCTGCCTGCCTGCCCTCTGCTGGGGTCTGCTCCTCTTCTACATGGCATTGTTTTGGAGGGGTCCTAG